TTAAACCCATAGTATCTAAGTTCTTCCCCACACCTTTATCCTATATTAACCCCTCTGAAAATATTGAAACTGTATTAATTAACAGTGTTAAATATGTGAAGTGGGAGAAGTCCTTCTATTTTAATTTTACAGAGTAGTGGAAGAAAACACCTACTAGTATAGGAATTTCTAACAGCAAGGTAAATAAGAAATTCTTTTACCCGAACTGGAATAAAAGCAGAAGTCAAGGTGATTTATAGGATTAGTTTAATCAACTCACCGAGCTTTATATTAGGAAGCCTGTTTTTTAATACTATACATGTCAGAGTATTATTCAGCATGGGATTTACTATAATAATAGAACGTCTGGAATAAATAAGCATCTTAAAAGCAGGGAGTGTAAAAAAAAACAGAGTCCTAATTTATAATAATTAATAATTACAGTATAAAGTAATAGGATAAGCATCTTAATAAAATAGTATCCCTTTTTACTAGACCACAGAAGGAAACAGCAACTAACAGAGATAATACTAAGAGACCCCGTCCTAAGCTTCCTAATCTGGCTAAGTTTTCAGGGGAGGATCTCTCCCTGTTCCCCCAGTTTCTGGGGCAGTTGCAGACTAAAATCAAGATTAATAAATTATTAATCAGAGTAGGGAAAGATCTACTTTAGTATAAATTTAGTAGACTAAAGGGAAAAGCAGCGGCTCGCATTTATCCCTGAATATTAACCTATAAAAACAATACCACTAAATTTACCACGGAGAGGCTTTACCAACAACTAAGGACCGCTTTCGAGGATCCTGCCTTAAAAAATAAGGCCCTAAACTAGTTAAACACTCTTTACCAGGGAAACCGGCCCTTTGGTAAGCTACTATTAGATCTTGATTGCCTCCTTCTCGAGGCTGGGGGCTATGGTTAAATAAATAATATTAAAAAAAAATACCTGCATGCAGCTATTAATTAAACCCTGTATAATAAGCTTATTACTATTAAAAAAAAGCCTACTTATAAAAATTACTCCCTGCAGATAAAAAGCATTGTAAAGTACCTAAATAAGTTTAAATACCTTGTAAACTACTACCCTAGTAGGGGATTTATTTTTAATAAAACCTGTTCTCCCTCCAAATGCACCCCTATTTTTACAGGTAATAAACCTCGCACTACAGCTACTAAGATAGATAATAATAAAAAGATAGATTAGAAACCTATTATTACTAAGTCCTTTAAGCATGCCAAGTGGGTTGGAAAAAACAAATTAGATTATTACTAGAAGATAGGCTACTATTTTTATTATAGCTTTATTAAATATTTTATTAAACTTTGCCTTTTTCTCCCGGCCCGCCGCCCCCCAGCTATATTAAGTATTTTTAAAGTTAATATAGAAGACGCCCTTCTGGAAGGGGATAATACTATTATAAAATCTAAAGGGGATAGATAGGAAAAAGCTATATTTTAATAAAAAAACACCTGCTAGAGCACCCGGGAGCTAGCTTTATAAGGGAATAGGAGGAGTTTATAAAAAACAACAAGTTTAATAATCCACCTTTTATAGTAGTATTTTAAGTTAATAGCAAGGCTAATATAAATATATTAATTAATACAAGATTAAATACCTATAAAATAATCTTTTTTTATTTTATTAACAAGAACTAGTTAGCACGTGTTAAGATCAGACTATAGGGTATTTAGAAATTTAAGGGTTTTACTAGTAAAAAGATTAAAAGCATGGTAAAGTTATTACTTAATATTAAGGGTTATTATTAATTTTATATTTATTTATATAAGGCTCCCCACCTCACCAACTATAATATTATCCTAGGGACTCCGTGGATAAAGTCTTAGAACATGATCCCTACTTTAAACTAGTTAAAAATAATTTTTTGGAACAGTGGTATAAAGGTCCCCTGTGGTTTTAGACTAGAAAGGATAGTAGATATTAAGGTTATCTTTACTAAGGCTTTTAAGCTTTTAAAAAGGCAGAAGCGGAAAGGGGCTAAATTAAAGGTTTTTATAGTAAGCCTCCAGGATATTAAACAGGCACTTCGCCCCCGGAAATACTTAGACCCCAAGGATAAGCTCCTAGTTTACTATTATAAGTATTTTAATATTTTTAGTTAAAAAGCAGCCGAAATCCTACCCCTACTACGAGGTCCTGATATTAATTATAAAATAAAGCTAATAAAGGATAAAAACAGCAAGCTAATAAAGCCCTTATAAAACTTTATTTATAGGTTTAGTAAAAAAAAATTACTTATTCTTTAACACACACTAAATAAATATCTAGATAAGGGCTTTATCTAGGTTAGTAATTTACCTATGTCTACCTTTATATTTTTTATTTAAAAGCCTAATAATTTACTATACTTTTGTGTTGATTATCGCGCGCTTAACTAAATAACCAAGAAGGATTGTTATTCTATATTTTTAATTTAGGAGACCCTAGATTATATTAGCAATACAAGATAGTTTACTAAGTTAAATATTATCTTTGTATTTTACTATATTAAAATAGCCAAGGGCAATAAATAGAAAACAGCCTTCTAGATATAGTATAGGCTTTTTAAGTGGCTAGTAACTTTTTTTAGTCTTGTAAATACTCTAAGTATATTTTAATAGTATATTAACTAGATATTATAAGATTATATTAATAAATTCTGCTCTGCCTATATTAATAATATCTTAATTTTTTCCTCGGGAAGCTTGCACTAATACTATAATTATATACAGAAGGTATTAAAGCACCTTTAGAAGGCTAGGTTACAGGTTAATATAAACAAATACAAATTTAAGGTCTAATTAATAAAGTACTTAGGATTTATTATTAAGGCTGGGAAAGGAATTTATATAAATCTAGATAAAGTTAGTATAGTATTAGGATAGGTAATTCCTATTTTTATAAAGGGAGTTTACTTTTTTCTAGGTTTTATAAATTTTTATTAAAGATTTATTAAAAACTTTTTAAAAATTATTTTATTTTTTATAAAACTTACAAAAAAGGATACACAGTTCTAATAAATAAAAGCTGTAAATAATATTTTTTAATTTTTTAAAAAGCTTTTTACTACCGCACCAGTCCTTATGCAGTTTAATCCAGAGCAGGAGATAATTATAAAAGTAGACTTGTTAGGGTGGAGTATAAAAGGTATTTTATTTTAGTATAATAATAATAGGTTACTATATCCATGCACTTACTTTTTAAAGAAGAATACCCCTGCAGAGTGTAATTATAAAATATATAATAAAAAGTTACTAGTAATTATTTACTACCTAGAAAAATAGGAATTAGAACTTATAAGTTTGCAGTAGTTTTAAATTATTACTAATTACTAGAATTTAAAATATTTTACTACCTAGTACTACCTTATTAAATAGTAAATATACTAGGCCTATTTACTAAGTAAATATAACTTTATAATATTTTATTACTTAAAATCCTAAAATACCTGCTCTAACACCCTATCCTGCAGGGAATAAGACTTACCAAGGGATACTAATAATAAGCAAGTAAGTAGCTAGGAAATATAATTATTTAAGCTAAAAATTTTTAGGGATATAAATAAAAGCACTGTTAAGACTATTTTAGTCCTGTTTACCACAAGTAATAGTAAGGACTATAAATTAGTAGTTTTACCACTATTAAAAGAGTAATAATAAAAGGCAGAGTAAAAAAATAATTAAAAAAAAAAGCTAGTATATATAATTTAAAGCAGGGTAGCTTAATTTCCCAAGCACCTTTAAATAAAGGTCCCTATATTAGAGTATAGTCTAGATAGTTAAAAATAGCTACTATTTTAAAAGCAGTGCTAGGTTTTTTAATTAAAGCCTTTAAAAATATATATTATTTAGGAAATATATAATTTAATTTTAACTAGATATCCTAGATATAACACCTTATATATACTTATTACCCAATAGTTTTTTTAGCCTTAAATATTTTTTAATATCCAGTAATTTTACTGTAACTATGACCAGTGCGGTGCTAACTAAATATAAAGGGATAAATAGTAGGGACTATTAAAACTGTTTTTAATACCTAACTGCAAGTAGAGAGAGATCTCTATAAATTTTATTATAAAACTCCCTGTATTGTTAGGTTGTATAAATATTATAGTTATTATAGATTGCTTAGAAAAGGGGGTTATTATTAAACCTTATAAAAATATTAAAACAGAGTATATTATTTAAAAGTTCTTAAAAGTTTTTTATACCTACCACGGCCTACTATTAGTAATTGTCTCGGACAGAGGTAAGCAGTTTGTTGGTAGCCTTTAAAGGTATTTATATAAACTCCTGTAAATAAAAAAACATCTTTTTACAGCTTAGCACCCTAAAATAAATAAAATAATAAAGTAAATAAATACTATTATTAAAACTTATTTATACTTTTTTATAAACTATACTTAAAATAACTAGGTATTCTTGTGCCCCGCTGTGATACTTGTACTAAATAATAAAGACTCTATATCCACTAGTATTAGCCCCTTTTTCCTGGACTATAAATATTATATAGAGCCCCTGGACCTCCCTAAAGCCCCAGAGGTTATTAAAAGCCTGAAAACACCAGCTTAACATGCAGAGGATATTATTAGTAAATTAAAAGGCGCATTAGAGTTAGCCCAGGTAGCTATAGCCGCGGCACAGCTTGCACAGAAGGAATATATGTAAAGGGGCGAAATGCCTTGCTATCTAATAACTAGATATACACAAAGAGGAATCGCTGAAAGGGAGAAAGTAACAGGGAGGAAGTATGCGTTCTCATACTACAGGGAGTCATATGACTACGATAAGCGGACTAATTATATGTGTTAATCACAGTAAAGGTAAAGCCAAGTAATATACAGGCGTAGCCCGTGACATTATCCCCCCCGGAGAAGTTGTGGGCCCGGAGCCCACAACTTTTAGGGAGTCGTGGTGGGACCTCCTTTTAACTCCCAGATATCCAGTGCGACTGTGTCTTCCATGTTGTAAGCAGCTATCCAGGTGGGTGTTTGATAACCTGTTTATTTAACTAGATATTCATGCCTGAAGCTGTGCCCCCAACAGATCCGACGCTCGTCCAGAATCTTGTCTACCCTGTATTCCTTTTCACCATCTACAAGGAATCCTGGGGGTTGCCAGTTAGGTCGGGATTGGCTCGGCAGTGGATTCTTAGCTGCCAGATGCAGTAACATAGTATGGAAGACAGGGTGGATAGCTATTAGTATATCTAACTTGTAGATATAGGAACCTACACGCTTAATAATAGTAAACTTGGTATATTGGGCGTCCAATTTCTTGCAGGGGCAGTTAGTTTTAATATTCCGAAGATTAAGCCATACTTTATCTCCCACTTGGTACTGAGGTGCTGTATTCCGGTGTTAGTTGGTATATTCCTCCTGTGCAAGCTATGCCACGGCCATGGCTGCCTGGGCTAACTCTAATACGCCTTTTAGTTTGCTAACAATACCCTCCGCATGTTGGGCTGGTGTTTTCGGGCTCTGAACAACCTCTGGGGCTTTAGGGAGGTCCAGGGGCTCTATATAATATCTATAGTCCAGGAAGAAGGGGCTGACGCTAGTGGATATAGAGTTATTATTATTTAGTACAAGTATCACAGCAGGGCACAAAAACACCTAGTTATCTTAAGTATAGTTCACAAAAAAATATAAATAAGCTTTAATAATAATATTTATTTGCTCTGTTGCTCTATTTGTTTTAGGGTGCCAAGCTGTAGAGAGATGCCTTTTTATCTGCAGGAGTTTATATAAATATTTTTAAAGGCCGCTAACAAACTACTTACCTCTGTCCGAGACAATTGCCGATGGTAGGCCGTGGTAGGTATAAAAAACTTTTAGGAACTTTTAAATAATATACTCTGTTTTAATATTTTTATAAGATTTAATAATAACCCCCTTTCCTAAGCAATCTATAATAACTATAATATTTGTATAACCTGACAATACAGGGAGTCCTATAATAAAATTTATAGAGATCTTTCTTTACTTATAGTTAGATATTAAAAGTAGTTTTAACAGTCCCTGCTATTTATCCCTTTATACTTGGTTGGTACCACACTGGTCACAGTTACAGCAGAATTGCTGGATATTAAAAAATATTTAAAATTAAAAAAACTGTCGAGTAATAAGCATATATAAGGTGTTATATCTAGGATATCTAGTTAGGATTAAATTATATATTTCCTAAATAATATATATTTTTAAAGGTTTTAATTAAGAAACCCAGCACTGCTTTTAAAATAGTAGCTATTTTTAACTATCTAGACTGTACTTTAATATAGGGACCTTTATTTAAAGGTGCTTGGGAAATTAAACTACCCTGCTTTAGATTATATATACTAGCTTTTTTTTTTAATTATTTTTTTACTCTGCCTTTTACTATTACTCCTTTAACAGTGGTAAAAACACTAATTTATAGTTTTTACTGTTACTTGTGGTGGACAGGACTAAAATAGTCTTAACAGTGCTTTTATTTATATCCCTAAAAGTTTCTGGCTTAAATAGCTATATTTCCTAGCTACTTACACACTTATTATTAGCATCCCTTGGTAAGTCTTGTTCCCTGTGGGATAGGGTGTTAAAGCGGGCGTTTTAGGATCCTAGGTAATAGGATATTACAAAGTTATATTTACTTAGTAGATAGGCCTAGTATATTTGCCGTTTGGTAAGGTAATACTGGGTAGTAAAGTATTTTAGATTCTAGTAATTAATAATAATTTAAAACTACTGCAAACTTATAAGTTCTAATTCCTATTTTTTTAGGTAGTAAATAATTACTAGTAACTCCTTGTTATATATTTTATAATTGTACTTTGCAGGGGTGTTCTTTTTTAAAAAGTAAGTATATAAATATAGTAATCTATTATTATTATACTAGAATAAAACACCTTTTATATTTTACCCTAATAAGTCTACTTTTATAACTATCTCCCGCTCCGGATTAAACTGTATAAGGACTGGTGCGGTAGTAAAAAGCTTTTTAAAAAGTTAAAAGGTATTATCCACAGCTTTTGTTTATTAAAACTATGTATCCTTTTTAGTAAGTTTTATAAAAAAAAAAATAATCTTTAAAAAGTCTTTAATAAATCTCTAATAAAAGTTTATAAAACCTAGAAATAAATAAACTTCCTTTATAAAAATAGGAATTACCTATCCTAATACTATGCTAATTTTATCCGGATTTATATAAATTCCTTTCCCAGCCTTAATAATAAATCCTAAATACTTTATTAATTAGACCTTAAATTCGTATTTGTCTATGTTAACCTGCAGCCCGGCCTCCCGGAGGTGCTTTAATACCTTCTGTATATAATCATAGTGTTGGCGCAAGCTTCCCGAGAAAAAAATTAAGATATTATTAATATAGGCGGAGCAGAATTTATTAATATAGTTTTATAGTGCCTAGTTAATATATTATTAAAATATACTTAGGGTATTTATAAGACTAAAAAAAGTTACTAGCCACTTAAAAAGCCTATACCAAGTCTAAAAGGCTATTTTCCATTCGTCGCCCTTGGCTATTCTAATATAGTGAAATACAGAGATAATATTTAACTTAGTAAACTATCTTATATTACTAATACAATCTAGGGTCTCCTAGATTAAAGGCATAGGATAATAATTTTTTTTAGTTATTTAGTTAAGCATATAATAATTAACATAAAAGTGTAGTAAGCTATCAGGTTTTTAGATAAAAAGTATAGGGGCAGACGCAGGTAAATTACTAACCTGGATAAAGCTTTTATTTAGATATTTATTTAGTATATATTAAAAAATAAGCAGTTTTTTTTTATTAGACCTATAAATAGGGCCCCATGGGGGCTTTATTAGCTTACTATTTTTATTTTTTATTAACTCTATCTTGTGATCGATATCGGGACCTTGCAACAGGGGTAGGATTTTAGCTACTTTCTGACTAAAAATATCAAGATACTTATAATAGTGAACCGGGAGCTTATCCTTGGGGTTTAAATATTTCCGGGGGCGAAGTGCCTGTTTAATATCTTAAAGGCTTACTATAAAAACCTTTAGTTTAGCCCCTTTCCGCTTCCACCTTTTTAAAAGCTTGAAAGCCTTGGTAAAGATAACCTTAATGTCCACTATTTTTCCTAGCCTAAGACTGCAGGGGACCTCTATACCACTGTTCCGAAAGATTATTTTTAACTAGTCTGGAGTAGAAATCACGTTCTAAGACTTTATTCACAGAGTCCCTAAGATAATGTTATGGTCGGTGAGGTGGGGAGCCTTATATAAATAAATATAGGGTTAATAATAACCCTTAATATTAAGTAATAACTTTACCATACTCTTAATCTTCTTACTAGTAGGGCCCTTAAATCTTTAAATACCCTGTGGTCTGATCTTAACACGCGCTAGCTAGTTCTTGTTAATAAAATAAAAGAAGATTATTTTATAGGTATTTAACCTTGTGTTAATTAATATATTTGTATTAGCCTTGCTATTAACTTAAAATACTACTACAAAGGGTGGGCTATTAAACTTGTTATTTTTTATAAACTCCTCCTATTCCCTTATAAAACTAGCTCCTGGGTGCTTTAGCAGGCGTTTTTTTATTAAAGCATAGCTTTTTCCTGCCTGTTCCCTTTGGGTTTTATAATAGTATTATCCCCTTCTAGAAGGGCATCTTCCATATTAACTTTAAAGATACTTAGTGTGGCTGGAGGGCGGCGGGCTGGGAGAAAAGGGCAAAGTTTAATAAAATATTTAGTAAAGCTATAGTAAAGGCAGTAGCCTATTTTCTAGTAATAGTCTAACTTATCTTTTCTAACCTACTTAGCATGCTTAGAGAACTTGGCAACAGTAGGTTCCTAATCTATTTTCTTATTATTATTTATCTTAGTGGCTGTAGTGCGAGGTTCGTTGCCTGTAAAAATAGGGATGTGTTTAGAGGGAGGACAGGTTTTATTAGAGGTAAATTCCCTACCAGGATAGCAGTCTGCAAGGCGTTTAAACTTATTTAGGTATTCCGCGATGCTTTTTACCTGCAGGGAGTAATTTTTATAAGTAGGCTTTTTTTTAATAGTAATAAGCTTATTACACAGGGTTTGATTAATAGCTGCATGCAGGTATTCCTTTTTTAATATTATTTATTTAACTATGGCCCCCAGCCTCGAGAAGGAGGCAATTAAGATCCGATAGTAGTTTACCAAAGGGCTGGTTTCCCTAGTAGAGAATATTTAACTGGTTCAGGGCCTTATCCTTTAAGGCGGGATCCTCGAAAGCAGTCCTTAGTTGTTGGTAAAGCTTCTCGGTGGTAAATTTAGTGGTATTGTTTTTATAGGTTAATATCCAGGGATAAATGCGAGCCGCTGCTTTTCCTTCTAGTCTACTAAACCTGTACTAAACCAGATTTTTCCCTACTCCGATTAATAACTTATCGATCTCGATTTTAGCCTGCAGCTGCCCCAGAAACTGGGGAAACAGGGAGAGATCCTCCCCTGAAAACTTAGCCAGATCAGGGAGCTTGGGGCGGGGTCTCTTGGTGTTATCTCCGTCAGTTGCTGTCTCTTTTTAGGGTCTAGTAAAAAGGGATGCCATTTTATTAAGACACTTATCCTGTTGCTCTATAACTTGTATTATCTGTTGCTGTTAAAGCTGAGTAGCCTCAAGGAGCGCCTGCACCCATGCAGGGAGCTCCTGACCATTGTTACCCTCGTGCATGTCTGTATAGCCATTTCGTGGTAGTCTTCCAATGTCATGTCCGATGTGTTATCCAAAGTGCTCTAGACTGACCATTTAGCTCCGCTAGCTATGGTGGAGCTGTGGCTCGTTCGTTCCGTTGACCGTTACCGTTACCGTTGACCGTTGACCGTTGATTCGTTCGCCGCGTTCCACACGGGTTTCCAATCCAATAAGACCAATGAGGGCTCCTATTTCAGTGTGAAAAGATAGCGAGCGATTCCTAATGTAAAGGGGCGAAATGCCTTGCTATCTAATAACTAGATATACACAAAGAGGAATCGCTGAAAGGGAGAAAGTAACGGGGAGGAAGTGTGCGTTCTCATACTACAGGGAGTCATGTGACTACGATAAGCGGACCAATCATATATGTCAATCGCAGCGAAGGTGAAGCCGAGCAACATACGGGCGTAGCCCGTGACAATATACCAACCAACACCGGAATACAGCACCTTAGTACCAAGTGGGAGATAAAGTATAGCTTAATCTTTGGAATATTAAAACTAACTACCCCTGCAAGAAATTAGACGCCTAACATGCTAAGTTTACTATTATTAAGCATGTAGGTTCCTATATCTACAAGTTAGATATACTAATAGCTATCCACCCTGTCTTCTATACTATGTTACTGCGTCCGGCAGCTAAGAATCCACTGCCGAGCTAATCCCGACCTGACTGGCAACCCCCAGGATTCCTTGTGGATGGCGAAAAGGAATACAGGGTAGACAAGATTCTGGACAAACGTCGGATCTGTTAGGGGCGTGGCTTTAGGCACAAATATCTAGTTAAATAAACAGGTTATTAAATGCCCACCTAGACGGCCGCTCACAACATGGAAGACATAGTCACACTGGACATCTGGGAGTTAAAAGGAGGTCCCACCACGACTCCCTAAAAGTCGTGGGCTCCGGGCCCACAACTTCTCCGGGGGGGATAATGTCACGGGCTACGCCTGTTTATTACTTGGCTTCACCTTTGCTGCGATTAACATATATAATTGGTCCGCTTATTGTAGTCATATAACTCCTTGTAGTATGAGAACGCACACTTCCTCCCCTTTCCTTTCTCCCTTTCAGCGATTCCTCTTTGTGTATATCTAGTTATTAGATAGCAAGGCATTTCGCCCCTTTACATTCTCCTCCTTTAAAGCCTCTGTACGGGCTTTGGGATAGGCTTTAAAAAAGTTAAGTTTGTTAATATGGTTAAAACCAAGCTGTGCCTTGTTCTTAACCAGACGTCCATACGCGCGTTTTAATGGCCCAAAGTAACCAATATTAAGTGGTTGAAGAAGATGTGACGAATATGCTGGCATGCAGATTAGTATAATATTATTTTTACTGCAGATCTGATTAAATTAAGGAGTTAAATAGCTTCCATGGCCATCAAGAACCAGCAGGCGATATTGTCCAGTTGTACGGCCAGTTATAGCAGGAATAAAAAGCTTTTAAAGCCAGCGCAGTCTAATTTTATTAGTAGTCCATCCATTCTTACTAACTTCAATTCTCCAGTTGCTTGGTAAGTTCTTATGCCAACCCTCTATATAGACCTTTCCCTTGAAAATAATATAAGGTAAAAGTACCCATCCTGTAGAGTTAACACACTCAATAAAGGTAACCCATTCTCGATTACCTGGCTGCACTAAAAATGGCTTTCCCTGTATATTAGCTCTAGTAACTACTTTAGCAGTAGCTACCAGGCCCATTGCAAAGCCAGTTTTATTAAAATTATAGATATCTTCTTATGCAATCCCGTGTTGCAGTATAGTGATTTGTACATGATCAAACCACTCCCTAATAAGCTTAGGATCCTCACATTTAGCGCGCTGGTGATTGTATTGTTAAAAATATCTTAATTTAAGCTCCTTATACTGTTTAACAAAGTTGTATACCTATTTATCACTAACAGTCTGAATGGGTGTGGCACCACGTTTAGCAAAAAAAAATATTAGCCATTTCTTGCACATAAGACGGTCGGGGAGGAGCTCTACAGCGATTTAATAATAGTATCCATGGTGCAAGTAACTCCTCTTTATTCTAAGTTATTTTATAATTATTTGCGCGTGTTTTGCTGCAACATGTGTGGCCTTTAAGCCGATGGTGTAAGATTGTATAAGAGATATTAAAAATATATACTGCTTTGCGTATCGAGCATATTTCTTGGTTTTTAAGAGCTGATAATGCAAGTTGGACCCTTTTCTCTTTCTTAATTGAATTATTTAAATTTGTACGCGCTTTTGGTGGCATGGTAGGTGGTTGAATTGGGCGTGTATGTTGACCGTGGTCAGATCCGAAGAGGTGGAACGCTCGCTTACGTGGAACGCTCGTTTACCGATTACGTTAAACACTTCGCACCTGACTAAGCATCTTAGCTAAGGATCTAGCTATCGCGCTTCCGAGCGCTCCTAACAAAATTGGACATGTTTTTTAAAAAGGAGTTTAGAATTATATAGATTCCTAGCCATTTTACCATTGGGCTTGATTTGACTATTATATTGTGTCGGAGGCAGGCGGTAGGGGAAGTAAGGTATAGTCAATATTAGTAATATCTTTAATAGATTCTTATACTCTTATAATAATAATATATTGAAGAATGAATAGATTGAATTGCTCGTCTTAGCATTATAAAAATTGCTTCCAAAGACCTGCTTTATATTCGCATTTTGGTTTCCTTTTTGGGTAATTAAATATGTATTGAAGTTCAGGAAATATTTATAGTTTTCTGTGACTCATAAATTATGACTCATAATTTTTCCATGGTTTTGCTGATATTTTGCACTAGTAATTGGTGTCTGATATATTAGGCTCCTATTTCCAACAGATTCTTAATGAGTTCTGTTTCCTTATAATCCAAACATAGGTCTCACTGATAAGTAATGACCTGCATCTTAGGTGGTTGCCTAATGTGCGGAGTTCACTGCCCCGAATATTTTAACCCTCTTCCTGTGTTCTAGAGAGCAAGAGAGAACCGTCCAAGGAAGTATGGTAGTTATCGTGGTCTAGGATATCAATAATATATCGTTCCCTATATTAGGCAACTGGTTGCGTGCAGCTGTTCGATAAGCTCCTTCTCCACAACTGAGTCACATCAGTTGCCGATGTTCTATGTACCACGAATAACGTTCGTGACTCGGCCTTATTGTGCAAATTGGACGGTGCAGCGACAGCAGTTTCCTCTCTGCCTAGCCTATGCCACTATGTTTAACGACTGCTGGGGTCTCACGTTGGATCGCGTTTTATTGTACTTGACTCTGCCTGTGTTACCGCATGGGCAGCTCTACACCAGCATGTCCCGGCTCCGCTCTGCTGTACATATCCGTATCCTGCGAGACTCAGACTCGATGGACCACAACACTCCCAATGTCGTTTGTCACGGGCTGTTGCTGCCTGGCTGATAACTCTCTCCCAACGTAGCCACCGATATTAGTGCCGCACCCCCCCGCCTTCGGCTAGGGGGTGCACCACACCGGACGGGCATTTCACACCGCAAAGGCAAAATTAATACTATTCCCATTTCTTTCTCTATCTATCGCCTTTCCCCTACAGTATCTATCCAAAAAACCTCATTTTCTTGTTGCGCTGCTACTGCTGCATCAGATAATATAGAATTCTCCCCCGTAGGCGCCCTAGGTGGCGGTTGGTTGTATACTTTCTTCCACTGCTTATCTAGCCTTTTTTTCTCTTGTAAAGCCTCTTTTTCTCTCCTGGCCTTTATTGATCGATTGGCATCTTTTGTACCGAGTATACCAGAGTTGCTTAGCTTTGGAATCTGTCTCTTAGTAATTAAACGTCTCCGGGGTTCTTGTATCTGTCGCATTCGGCTAACTGTATTGCTCATCATTGCAAGCTCCTCTGCCTGTTTTTTATGGTGATAAAATGCACGCTGTAGGCCCCGCTGGAGCTTAGGAGTAAGGCCCTTAGTATCAAATATCTTCGAGAGTTTTCTCTGGTTTTTTTAATATCCTGGGCACTCTTTGGAGGGGTGTTTTCCACGCTGGAAAAGAAGAGATTTAAAGGAGGTGTTGTTTCACTGTACGCGCGAAAATTAGGCGCGGAAAGCTCTGGTATTGGAGGAAGTTTATCTTGAAGATCTTGAATAATAGTAGAGCCATTAGGAGGGAAGATTCCATGTTCTTTAAAAGAATTTCGGACAATTCGTTGGTTAAAGGTCTTGTTTCGAACGTTGACAATATCTTTAAGAAAATCGGCCTTATCCGCGGGTAGTCCGCCCCATTGCGCAATAAGGTTATTTTGCTGGCGAAAATGCTGTTTATAGGTAAGAAAGGGCTTGCCATTAAAAGGCTGGCATATATAAGTCGTATGAGGTCGAAAATAAAAAGGAATAATATTATAGTCCTTGCAGAGTTGTAGAAATTCGATAGTTTTATAGGACTCGTGGCTGTTAAATATTAATATACGTTTTTCATTCTTTTTGGTTCGATCTTTTGTAGCCTCATGAAATTTTTGAAGCCATCCAAGGGCAAGTTTATTATTAATATATCCCTTCGGAGAAACAGCTGTCCAATACTGTGAAAGATCGGGATAATTATACCAACTCTCTATAAACTTTTCACCCTTAAAAATAAATAACGGCTCTATAACCCACCCATCAGCTGCAATACACTCGACAGCAGTGATATTTTTAGTATGATCGAACTCAGCAAGATCAGGGAAATGGTCCCTTTATACCAATAACTTTCCAGGATCTCCCCTGGCCAGGTTGGAAGCCACATTCATCGAAGTTATAAACTAGGTGAGGAGAATGGCCTCTAACCACGTTCCCAAGCTGATTATACCAATGCTGAAGGTATCTAATGTCTTCAGCATCTATACACTTCTTATCCTTTGTTTTTTAAACCACAGGGCCTAGGTTAAGATGCGCTGGCAGTCTTTTTTCAAACCAATACGCCCACATCTTGCTAACACGTTGATCCGAGCCAGCACGTACAAGTGCAAGATTTGCCCACTCTCTAGCTATCTTAGGAGTAACAGGAAGATATAGATCACGCATACGAGTAATCACTGGACTAGAGCTTTTTCCTGATACTTATTAAGGGCCTTATTCACGGGTGTTTGGGCGCTGCGAGCTTGTTTTCCATCATAAAGTCGGCCGTACAGTGTACGGTACAGAACACTAAATTCTCGCGCGATCTTCGCTAAATTCGGTTTTTTCTCATACTGGGCAGCATCGCAGGCCTTGATTATACATTTTTCACGTTCTCCGGATGATTTAGGCATACTAGGTGGATGGGAATAACCTCAAGAAGATATGGGAGGGGAATTTTGCCTTTGCGGTGTGAAATGCCCGTCCGGTGTGGTGCACCCCCTAGCCGAAGGCGGGGGGGTGCGGCACTAATACGTGAAAACACAAAATAAAGCATCTTATATTACGATTCTTTTATTATAGTTAACTCCACCATTTCATGGCGAGCTGCTGTTGAGCTCGGCTCGTATATTAGCAGATTGTCAACTCAACACTTTACATGAGATGGCCTTGGTTTTGGATCTGTCGTGTGGTTTAGCCTCGGAGGCTATCTTCTGATGTCGCAAACCACCTCCGTACGCACCTTACATCCAGGTCAGTATGGAAGGATCAGGCCTCCAACTCCCTTTCCACTACTGAACAAGCATCACCGAGTGGGAGATAATAGTCCACTGTAGGGTCAAAGAGCAGAGTCGTGGTTTTTGAGCTTGATATGGCGAAGCATGTTTCACGCTACCTGCCAAACAAAAAAAAAAAAAAAAAAAAACGAAAAAAAAAAAACCATAGTGAAAATCAGAAGTGAGACAAAATACAAATCTGTCAGCGACTGCAGAACTGCGAACGAGATGCATGCCAGACGGAAAGCACAGGGTAAGGCTCTTCTACATTCGTTACCGTATGAGCGAATGGGTTCTAGAGCTCACCAAAGATAAATGTATCCACTATATATATCAGAAATAAAACCACTTCACAGTATATAAAGTATCCAAATTGAGCGGCATATTGCAGCTCCCTGAAACTCAGCATCCTTTCTGCTTAAGCACTGCCCTCGCCGAAATCGATAGGTTCATACCCGCTGTCTTTTTGGAGACTATGGGGGACTCCACCTCCAATACCCTTCATTGTCAGATATCGAACATTACCCTGGGCAGGAATAACTGTCAAAGAATTCCAGGTTGAATCTCCCTCTGGAGGTGCGTTAGAATAGGAAATAGGAAATGTTTCATTAGTATCCTGGAATAAAAGTCACTCTAATAGTGGTACTCTTGGAAACTCACATTAAAGTACACCGTACTGTCCAGACCTATAACCTTCCAACAAAATTTCTTTTTCATCAAGCTTCGAAAATTCGGGCTGATAGTGATATCCGTATCCCGAGCGAAAGTGTATGAGAGGGGAATCTGCGCAACAGAGAGAATGCCTTCTCTCTGTTGCTTGCGGCAGTTGGCGCAGCTTAGACCTTCATCACCCGGGTCAATTGCGCAATTTTGTAGAAGTTGTACAAGCCGCCAACAGGTTTCATCTTTTCATTCCCAAGGTCAAGGTAGAAAACGATTGTATACGGAACACCATTAATTGCATAACTGCTGGCCATCAGTTCCTATACTGCTGGGAGTCCGGTAGTCAGAGTTATCTGCGTGCTTACCGATCATAGATGATGTTGATTACATAGTCACTCTTATCTCCTTTTTCAGAAAGCTTCCCTGTAGGTTCACCGTCAAGTTTTCGTTGATCAGTGTTCGGACGCTTTCTATGCCCTAGTGTTCATTCGTGTTAGGTTTCTTCACTATATCATAATTATATTCCCAGTTGCGCCAGCACTTAACATCGTCTGATATAAAATAGTGAAACTCAGTGTCTTTGTGAAATGGCTTGAGTGGAGACGATGGTTTAGGGTCATTATCGTGCAGATGGTCAAACCAGTGACACGGGTTCAAAACCTGCCAGATGGCAGCTAGCCGATCCACATTGCTACATATAATTAGTGGACATAATTACCCAATTCAAGTGTCCTTTCATTGAACACTTACCAATGGTAAAGCCAGAAGATTCGATATTGCTACAGTGAGCCTAACTGCGTTGGATTTGCATACGATACCATGGACTCCCCAGGATGCATAAACTTGAGCGAGGGTGATTTCGGCTCTATTAGATGTTTTCCTGAATAGGATCATGGGGGGCCCCAGTTGAATCAGTCGAGCTGAACCCCGTTCCTTTGGTAGCTGGATTGTTCTATCTTAGTACCAGTTCTCGTTTCCTGCAAGGATTATGAAATTAAGCTGGGTCGGCGATTAGTGAGATATTAGTAGTCTATTCAGTTGCCAAAAATTAAGATTGCTGCAGAGTTGCTATCTCTTTCCGTATATGCAGTGTGGCTTGAAGAATAGACATCGGAGTACACGTGTGCACTCTTTCTCTCACATCTGGCATATTTTGGAAGGATTATTGTTTTATCTGTAGAAAGACGTAACTATAAAATATAATTCTCCGTTTTGATGGATTACACCGGTGGAGGTTTTTACTGAAAATTTTATCTTGAAACCTAAGGGGGGCAGAGGTAGGCCTCCGATCCCGTTTAGAAGGATGAGGTGTTCTTTTTATAGCTCTAATTATAAGGTAGACAGACATATAGATCTATATGAAGACGACTACGATTTCAGGGTGAACCAACAATTTTTATCCGCAGACCATGAAGTTTCAACAGTTCCGTGGAAACCTTATAGTCTAGAGTAGCCTGCTATTATAGTGTACCAGAATTATGGCGGTATAGTCTAGGTAGGATTTACAGAAGTATATATTTTAAATACTCCTAGGTGCGGTAGCTCAATTGACACGAGTATAGGTGAAATCACCGATTAATGTAGCATCATCTTCTGGATGGCTGGACCCTTTACCTGGTTGAATGCCAGCCATAACCTCAAACTGGAACAAAAACTCCTTCTCCTGCTTTCCTCGCGTATAAGACACATCCAAACCTAACTCCCCAAGGTACGGCTGTGGAACTTGCCCGGGACTCGCATTTTTGACTGCAACGACAGTGGCACCAAAAGCGACATGGTTACTCGAGAGAACGAGTAGTGCTCGTGATACCTTGGAAGGGATGTTTTGGGGAATATCTACTTGGACCCCCGGTATAAGGGTTTCTAAATTAATTTCCGTCCCTGGATTCTTCGTGAAGGGGACCAAGTCGGTCCATAGTTCATATCTGGGTTGCAAAACTCGCTGTTTAGAAATATCGTAGGCTTGAGTTGAATTAGCTCCATCAGGCCGGGAAGAGGTATAATGAATGTACTCACAATTCCATAGTTCGCCTCGAATGTTACCCAGACCCCCTATCTCACGAGTCCAAATGTACGATGCCAGGAAGACCGGCTTTTTTCCATCTATCTTACCAAAGTCACCGGCGACTTCCATATCCACTCGAGCACTGGCCAATTGATAGGAATTGAGATCTGCCGTCTTTTCGAGCCTGAAGACTACTTGCTGGACATTGAGGCCCTGAAATGTCCGATCCCCTTGCCCTCCGAAAATGCCTTTCACAGAGTCAGGTTTGACGCCAATCAGCTCACCGAGCCACTGGAGAAGAGCATCCAAAATGCCTTTACTAAGTTTGAGTGTTAGGGTGATTCCTGCCTCATCGAACTCGATTCCTGCTGTCAATGCTGTAAGAGGATTTCCACTTTTGGCCGACACCGTACATGTCGCTTGGAATGAGACGCTTCCTTGGTCGATACTGACTGCTCCATCCACTGTTTGCCCCTCAGTCAAAATCTTCTTGCAGATCACTTTGGGTGCACTAATTGTAATCCCTGGAAGGGCTTGCTGAAAGAGTTGCTCTAAAGCCTTGCCATCCTTGAGCTGAAACTGTAATCGGATGGTTGTTTGATAGCCTAGTCTAGGATTGAACCACATAGCATTTCGTCCTTGGACATAGTTGGATGCATCGAGGGACACCTCTAGTTGCGGCACAAACGGGGGCAGCGTCGCTATCATATCGGACAATCCGACAAAAGTAAACAGGGCTTCCACTGTCGGGGTATATGGAGATTTCGGGGCGACGAGCCCATTATAGAGGATGGGGGAGGTTCCATCTATTGCAGCCCCCGGGGGACCAATCGTGTCGGCTACCCCTTTTTCAAATGCAGACTGGAGATATTGGCTGGAAGAATCGAAGCTCAACGTTCCCCATGGCGTCTCAAAGCTGAATAGGAAGCTTTGCAATGCCTTCAGATTAGAGTCAAGCATAAGATTAAGTGTTGCATTTGTGTCAAATCGACCCATCCATTCCTTCCATAGATCTGAGTCGTCAAGTGGTGTGTATACAGGCTCTTTAGGTTGATTTTTCAGAATAACGACCTTGCCTTTTAATGAAGAGACAAACTTGTCAATGGGAATCCCCGGCGAGAGGATTAATTTGTTATTGGATGCACTCTGCCCTGCATCGCTAGAATAAACATAGAATTTCTCATCCTCTTGTACAGAAATCATTACTGATAGTAGTTTCTCCACGAAAGGAGACCTGCTTGTTTATCCGATGGATTACTACCTGAAAACTCTGGACTTAACAAGCTGCAGATAATGAATGGTAGCAGCATATAAAAGCCACGGGCATTGATATTTCAGTGATCTACACCTGCTGACGTGGGCGCACAATATTTAAGGTCCAGTTATGTATTCAATATTACTGCAAAGTGGGGGTGAGACCGGCGATTTTACCCAGATTAACTTTCTAAATAACATGAGAAATAGGTCATTGAGAACACCTGGTATGGAGGATGCGCAATAGAGTATGCTGCATCAAGTATCAGTCCTAGTTTATTATGTGCTGTTGCCACATTTGCGAGTTGCCTGTAGAAGCCCCTACGGTATATATTATAGCTTGGGTTTTCGGTATGAGCTAAACATAATTCTCGTTCAATTACTGCCAGGCTGGCTCACTGATACCCTGCGCAGGGCGATGCATGCAAGATGCCCTAAAGAGCAGTCCAGGTAGCGAGCTGTACATCTGCATACCCCACTAAGTCACAAGTTGCATCTGGAGAGATTTCACTCCGTTGCTCTTGATACTGGCAACAATGGCATCTATTGCCTGCGGGGAAGTGATCTTCCAAACATCCCCTTCCACTCGGTTCCACACGTAGTAAACCCCCTTCGATTCGAACAGGTAGAGGAAGTCACTCGTCTGGCACATCACCGCACTCGGCGAGTCGAGGCCCAGGGCTCGTGTCACTCTAGTGCCATCGCCACTCTCGCTCCAGTAGAATTCGGGATCAAGCGTTTCTGCATCGTTTCCCCAGCCAGGAGGGGGATCCCAATTCGGGGGGTGCGTTCTATTCTGGTTAGCGAGAGGGGCAAAATCCATTGACTGAGAATGCAGTAATTGGGTAGCATACAGTGGAGCATGATGCTGCCATGTCTGAGCGTATGAAAGCCCGCCAAGAGTTTTGGGTATCGTTGGTTGATGGAATTAGCGATGTGATGAACCGGCGAAGCGTTCTCATGGAGAGATTAATCATGCAGACTTGAGTTGGATGACGTGTCTTTATACCTCCGTGCCCAGGAGTATCCCCCCACTCGCTTGAAATGCATAAAGTGACCTCTCCTGGCTATCCTGAACAGCGCTGCATATCTTGGCTCCAAACATCCACTGACCACATAATAAATGCAAGAATATTCCAACCGTCGCCTCGGAAATGTCAGAGCCTTTGCTTCTATTCCATGGGGAGGACTTACGGAAGCTATATCAATACCATAAAAATGATGTGGGTGAACTTTGTATCACACTATGAGAGTATTTTAACCAAATATGGCAGGTTTATGATTTCCTCGAGGATGTCATTAAGAATCCAAAAAAGTACAATGTCCATCCCGACAGTGTACCAGAGCTGCGAAAAATACTACGAGCCTTGCTACGATTGAGGTAGGTACACCGAATTATATTCAAACTCAAATGAAAACAAAGCTCTAACCCTGCCACAGTCTTGGAAGAACCAAAAGCAAACAGGACGACGGGAAAGATTTTCGCAACAAAAGCCTGGAGCCAGATCAGCATATATATCGCGCGAGGAACGACAAAGCGCAAAAGAAAGAGGACTCTAAATTCAATCTCATGCGACATACTTATAATGGGGTTGGGTACTGGTGCCCTTATGATCTCCTGGGACTATTCCTAGCGTCCATGGGACCCGCACCGTTTGGTGCCACCAAGAGATCCTTCTACTTGCCTCTGACAGCCGTCTATGGCCGATGGTGCAGTGCTATTGCAGGGCCTCCACGGGGGGTTGGAGAGCATCCGTGCATTTTCCAATGTACCTGGGCTCGAAGGATCAACCAACAGGATCGGTTCTTTTTAGGAGCATCATTGGGAGGCTATAATTTTAATCCCGAACAGACTGGCACCTGGGAGAAAGAGATGAAAATGGGGCGATTCAACCTCGTGAAGAAAAATCTGATGATTGACTGGGGATTTGAAACTTCACCGTCACGAGAGCAGAATGGGCTTGTAGGCACTCGATTTGGGAACTGCGGAGAGACATATCCTTTCATCGCGATCAAAAAGTATGTTTCCGCCCTTGGCGTACTATGTTGGGGTTGGAGAAATGACCAGTCGATAGGAATATTTCACTGCAAGATACTTGTTATGGACTTGCCCTCAGCGTAAGCTACATCAATAAGCCGGAATATGACGATAAACAAAGGGGCGATATATGGAAAAACCTATGGAATCCTTGCCCAAATTGCACCCATCTTGTGACTGTTCTAGCGTGGAACTTTGCCAATTTTCAGAAGGATTTGGGAAAGGCCGGGGCTCCCAGATGAGATATGGATACAGAAATCCGTGCACTCCTTACGTTCCATTGATATAACAATGTACTGCCTGGAGTGAACACTGTTTAGAAAAGACCTCGGTTAATCAAGCACTAGAATCTTAGTCTATTATTGCTTCAGAAGCTCGCTCTTTATGCAGAGTGGGAAGGAGTGAAGAAAGTATTCACCACCCTTGTGGTCAACAAATGGTAGTCCTGTGGTTTATTCTCCGGGTCTTGACAATCTCTTCATCGCAAGTACTGATGTGTTCCTCGGGGATGATCTATACATCGACATGCCGGTTGCCTTCTTATTTCCGGGGAAAACCCGATTTCTCTCCTCACCCAGCTTGTGTCGATTATCTTATCTGCATAACCATTGTAGGGTTAGAAAGACATATGCTTCCTCATCAAATTGGAGCCGTCGAGGAAGTGGACGGCCCGCTATAAGAAAAACTGACGATCGGTCTGAGAATCATGTACTGTACCTATCTAGGTAGGCACTATGTAGGTGCATGCATGGATGTGATGAATATTGCATCGTATGGGGGAGATCGGAGAACTGGCTGACGTGTCCTGGTCCTGTATTGCATTGTTTGGGGATGGTTTGGTAATTACGCTTTGGACAGTGCTGTGTCTGCCCTGATCTTCTTGAGCACAGTATCTTCTTTGGCCATGTGTCCCTCTGATCGTCAGATTTCTGCCTTCTGTGATGAGCTTCACCGTAGCTCATACTATATGCAGGTTGCCAGGGGGTCGCAAAGGGCTCGAGTATGTATTGTATTTGTAATACCAAATCAGAGTGATCATATGGATCTGATCTCCATCTTTAAGTGCTTTCATCGTCATTCTAGAGCAAGAAGAATTACAGATTACTTTGAGACAAGAAGGAAATATGGAATATGCGACCCAGGCAAGGTATAGGTCTGAAGGAACAAAAGTGACCTTCATCAATAGAACGGCTTTCCGTACCCAAAGAGAATACTAGATTGAACTATCAAGCAGCTACAGGAATCCCCATGCGAGGTGCTTCGAGAAAGAGCGTCGCAAACGTATCTTCATTGTCCACCAGGCTCGTCGGCTTGGTTCCCCTGATTGCTCCTGCCTCCGTCAAATTCCACTGGGCAAAGCTAAGCTTTGCCCATAAATCCACAAAGGTCTCTGCTGCGCCTTTCCCTAACCCTGGGTCACCGTTCCATTTCCGCCTCGCGTTTTCCCAGGCTTTGCTTGTGCGATCTTCCGGTAGTGGATCCCAGAGTGTCTCTACTGTGGGGACTCGAGGGAATGGATATGGCCCGCCGGCTTCATTAATGAAGAAGGTTTTGTACTGAAATGCCTTGATTTTATCATAGACGCTCAGCTCCGGCAGGGGGGAGGAGACGGTAATTCCCATTGCTTGGCTGACGGAATGTTTGTCGCTTCTGAGGAGGGGTCCAATCTGGTTAGGGTCCCTGACATTGGGATTATTGGGGTCTTCATTTTCGTCGTCTAGGCTCTTCAGTTAGCAATCTAGTCTGGTAGAAGAAGCCTATGTCTTCGACTCTCACAGTATCCCCATAGTGCAACCGGCACAGCTTTAAAGATCAGGGTGGCCTTTTCCCACTTGGGCACCCCAACAGGCTCATCTGATGCCGTCAGTTCCTTCCTTTCCTGTATAGGCCTGATTGTCACCGTCAATGTGCTCATTAGTGATTTCTTGAGCTGCATCGGCTTAGCGTAGAGTTCGAGCATGTCCTTGTCATCCTTTGGAATCTGAACTTTCTGATCCTCCTCGGTAGTGCCTAGCTGACCCGTCACTACGATGGCATTTCGAATGGCAAACTTGCAGCCAACGGTAAACTGAAAGACTGCTCCACGGACATTCCAGACCTCATCAGCATCATTCGGGCTGGTCTTTGCATTGGTCTCGCTGGATGGAATAAGGCCCTGGTTACAGGTGAAAATAAATGGCGGCGGGGGCTTACTCTCGCCTTTGTTCCTGGGCAGATCCGATTGCAAGGCCTGATCGTAGAAAGCTTGCAGGCTAATAGGGTCATTTTGGTGCTCATCGCGGGACCCAAAGTTGATATCGAAGCCGAACACCCAGAAGTTGACATGAACCGTCCCGGAGATAGGCGGGCCTTGGATGTATAGCGTCGCCGACAACTCGATGCTGATATGCACCGTGCAGATCCACAGGTCGAGAGTGAACCGGACCCCGACGCTGACGCCCCCATCAGCGATGAAAAAGAACGGGTTGTATTTGATCAGGAAGTCTGCGTAGGCGTTAAAGAAGGCATAAAGGGCTCCCAGAGTGAGGGACGCATCCAAGCGCCCTCCCCCCATGCAGACTTTGGGGGTAATAGCGAAATAGGCCTCACCGCGAATGCTAATCGAGGTGTCGTAAGCCCAACTGATTGCCAAGCGAGGCGGCTTGGGGTAATACGGTGGCACTTGATATGACCGATGATACCCTCCGATAGTGAAGACAAAGTCGCCAGCGGAGGTGCTTTTATCATTAGCAAACCAGGTATAGAAGCCGAATCCGCCCGTCAGATGGCAGCTGGGATCCAGCACGTAGGATGCGGGGGTCAGCTGACCCTCAATCTTCAGGGTGCCAGTCTCCAGGTCGAGCACCGCCGTCATGCCCAGCTGGACGTGGGCGAATTTCTTGTCGGCCTTGGCCGGCATGTCCGCCGTGGCGACAGCAAAGAGGCCGATTTTAACCTTGGGATCCCATTCCACTACGAGCGCAGCCTGCATGTTCAGGATCTCAAACGCTAGCACGGTGAGCCCGGCTGCGAGCCAGAATGAATCCTTTTTGGAGAAAAACCAGGTCCCGTCCATGAGAGCCTTCAAAGCCTCATCGGGTTTTGTCGCGGCTGGGGGGGTGATCAAGGGGAAGTCCAGCACATTGGTTACCGATGGGAACTGCAGACTATTGTTGTATCCAAACCCGCCGACAACCCCGCGGATCTCGGCGAATCCAAAGGTTGCCAACGGACCGTTCAGGATGAAATAGATAAAGGCGGATGTAAACTGCTCATTCGTTTTCGCGATCTCGATCGTACCATAAAACCCGGCGGCTTGGAAGAGGTACGGGTCGAAGCTCAGCGTGACTGCCCCTTGATAGGTCTCCTGGACGTGCTTGAACATTCCACTCAGAAGAACGGGGCTTCTGTCAAAGGAGGCTGCCAAACCCTCCAGGGCAAACGTTGGGCTAGGCAAGTTGTCGAAGATATTGTTCAATTTGGAAGAGTCGAAGGT